CGAAAGTTGAAATTAAAGGTAAGTTCTGATATTTTTTTTGAACCTCGATGTAATAGAACATCACAAACTCAATCATGCATCCCGTTTATTATAGATATTATTTTCTTTATGACTTTCTCCGCAAAATATGTCGCAAGCACACACACGCACGATTTTGTGAATCCAAGGTATGTTGGGAAGCAGTGGTAAATTATTTTAAGCATCAGATTACGGGCAGGTTGGGTAATACGAGGAAATAGTTTTGGCCCGCGTGTTTCATCGTTGAAAAGGATATTCCTTAATATTTATTCCATTCTAATTTGATCTTTTTTCGGAAATCTCGGTTAAAAACTGGTTATTTGATTTGTGGTTCTTATTTTGGCCAAAAAAATTTTTGGGCAAAGGTAGAATTAAAAAAAAACTCCCGCCTAAATTTTCTTTACAGAACATGAAAATTTGTTACATCACCACCTCCTTGGATTGAGAATGACGTAAATCTCACCCGAAAACATTAACTGCCGTATCAGATGACCTATATAATAATAGTAAAAAAAAATTTTCTTTGTCAATTGTATTTATTTGGTATGTGCACCAACAGAATTAACTACCCATATCATCATTTGATGGAACACAATGGCATATTTCCAGAACTTATTTACGGCTCGGCGACAATTATTATTTGATTAAAGAGTCATCATCTAACTTTAATTGATGATGAATCACAAAAGATTTCAATGTGTCTTGTTTCACGTGAAATTACTTGGCAACGTGATCATTATCATTATCATCACAATCTCATCGTTCATCATCCTTCTTATAGTAATTTTTTTGTTTGTATCCATCTCCTCTTACTTTTTATCTGTTTGTGCGTAGAAGTTAATTTAACCACCTCCACCGCAAAAATTTCTTTTAGAAAAAAAACAATATATTTTTCGTAGCTTTAGTTTTATTAAAGAAAAAAAATAAAAGATGGACGGCTTCGACGCACGTATCGCGTTCTTGGACCGGCTAAAAAGACTAACGCCACTGTTCCAAACGTTACAAAAAGCAGCGTACTTTGCCATATGCAATCGTGTGCACTACGAAGATTTATTCTCATGTATGAAAGAAACGTTGGATGAGGTATATATAATATATATATATCGTTGTAACCTTCTTTCTCTCTCTCGCTCTCTCCGAGAGAACGCGAAAACAGCTTGCATACCTGGCAGTTTTTCGTTGCTTATTTGATTCATAAAATGACGGACAAAAATTGTATCTGTGAAAATAAATTGCTTGCGCAAATAATCGTTATCATAGTATTATTTAGTCATTCCTTCGCTTCTTGTATATCTTTGTATTTTACGAATAATAAAAAAATTAAATAAAAAATCGCAAACCAAAAAAAAAAAGAATAGCTTAATAAATTTCTGGTGCTTTTAAAAAAAAACGTCTTTAAACTTAACGTCGTCGCTTTGCTTGCTCAATACTTTAAAAATAGGGCTCGATGAATTGTCGAGTAAATATATTATATGTGCTGGATTACATACTCGAGTATTCCCGTAACAAGCAATTCACGGGATACTTCGAGTTAGTGGAAGAATATTTACCGAATTTAGTAGATAAAGTGGTTCCTTACGAACCAAGAGGAAGAATAAACATAAATCATATGAAAAAGGTGAGCTATAGAAACTATACCCTGCTAAATTGCGCACACCTTCGTTTTGTGAAATTAACCTGCAAGAGGACTAATTGTTGAAATGACATTTTCTGTAGCTCCTCCAAATATGGAAGAAGAAAGAATATTTCTCAAGAGCAGCTTTGGACGCGGCTGAAAAGGCCCTGGAAAGACGGAAAAAATGGTGCTTTTTGCATTTTCAAGAATTTCATATTATCCTTAATTGCGAATATTTCGAATCTAATAAATGTTAAAAATGACATTTATATAATAGCGATGATATTGGGAAAGCACATTTTAATCAGCAAGAAATACAAAAGCGAGTCGAAGAAGACCGGGAGAGGGTAATAGAACATCATCTCATTGTTATTTGATCTGATAAGATTGTTGAATTTATTATCATTCCTAAAGCATAAACGGTTGCGGGAACACTCTTGGATTCTACCCTCAACTTCCGAAGCACCAGCACAGGAATTCGATAAATTCTGGGAAGAAACCTCTGATCTGAGCGATGACGATTACAAAAAGATTCTAAGGGAAAATAAAATATTTGACCCGAGATATCCGTGGCGAGAGGACATGAAATCAATAACGAAGCGCAAAAAAACACTCGCTGAAAACGAGATTAGCGAGCTCGGCCAAGAAGTAATTGAAGCTTTAGGACAAGGGAAAGAGAAGATAATCACTGTAGTGCCGATAATGGTATGGTTTGTTTTAATTTTATATAATCCATGCTCAAAAATTAATTTTAAATATTCATGTCTACCGTTCTCATTCATATATTGGTAATCCAGGAAGAAAAAGAGGAAGAAGGAAGGAAGGCAGATGAAGTTTCTAACTTAAATGTAAATATTATTATTCATATAACATGAATGTGTTTATTCTATAAATCTGTCGTATTAAAAAATTAGCTATTATTGAAAACTGTATAGGCAATTATGAAGTTGGAGGAAAATATTCCAGATGAAAAAATTAATTGGAAAATAGAAAAAGAAGAAGGTGATAGTGGGCATCACTCTCTTGGTGATGAAAGCGCTAATCTTGAAACGAAAGGACAAGAATTGGTCAATACGCAAACAAAAATAGAAGCAATATTTCCAGTCACTCAAACGCCTAACCATCAGCTTGAAGTTCCAGAAATAAAAGACATTAATGAAACTGTAACTGATCTCGTCATGCAGGAATTGAATGACCCTCCAATCAGTGTAGGAGCAGAAATAATCCCCATTGCTCGGTCTCCTGGCATTGGGTTGACCGTCCCGGAAAACGTCAACAATGATAATTCCGAACTTCTTACGCAAGAATTGGAAAATCACCAGACTGTCGTAGAATCTCTAAACCCTGAAGTTACATCTAATAGTGTTGGTGCTATTCCTCAACCAGTAAGTCCCACAAGGGCTCGTCGTGGACGTGGTCGTGGTCGTAAAGCTAATGATGCAAGTGTTCGCGGAACTAAGTATCCTGGAAATGACTTCATCGCTCCCGAAGCTAAAGAAGACACCAGTAATTACGGCGTCGAATTAAACAATCAAGAATCAGATGGTCGTCCAACTAATTTAAAAATTGTCTTACCCAAGATCGAAAGTTCCTCCGATAATAGAGCTACTACTGTATCTCGACGAGGAAGTGCTGTTGGAGTTCGTCGTGGACGAGGTGCTCGTAAGACTAACGATGCAAGTGTTCGTGGAACTCTGGAAGTTGGGGAACAGGTGAATTTAGGAAAAAGGAGTAGAGAACAAGAAGAGGAAGAAGAAACCCAGGGGGAAGTACAACATATCAGAGAAGATGAAGAGGAAAATGAAAAAGAGGAAACTATAGAAGTTGTCAAGAAAAAGAGAGGACCAAAAAAAAAGGTGAGATTTGAAGATGAAGTAATTAAGTGTGGTATTTTTATCCCTCTAAGTATTATTGCCTAAACATATGATCTGTTTTTGTCAGACGCCCGGTCAGCGAAAAACTGCCAAAACGTCAACAACGACGACAAGCACCATTACCACTACCACCACTACGAAAAAACGGAAGACCGTTAGTCGAAAATAAATATTTCGTACATATATTATTATTATGGTAATATGTTGCACTTTACGCAATACGATTTAGATTGACCATGAATGAGTCTCTTTCTAGGTGGGATTTTCTAACTTCCATCATGAATGAAAGAGCGTCATCAAACACTTTTCACTTAATAACCAAACACCCACCTACCATACACGAGATAGTTTCAATGCTGATACAAATTACTCTTTTATATAACTCAGTTTTTCATGAGAATACCGATACACCACTTTTACCACTTACCGGAAACACCATCCTCTGTATATATATGTATATCTATATCATTCTTTGAATATGCTTTTCAGAATCCTAGTTTTAAAGACGGGTTCGACTGCGCTTTTCAACATTTAGTTCGATTGATTGAACAGAAGACGGGACTTACGATTATTGTTGAATCCATGAATGTTGAACTTTGTTGATCAAACCATTATCTATTATTAGCTTTCGATACGAATATAGATGGTTATGCTGGTATGATATTTCGTCTGGTTATATTTTATATGGGCAACCAATTTTATTATTTAAAGGACTTTTAGTATCTTCATTATTAGGCAATAATGTATATAATAATTGTAAATAGTTTAATCGATTTGAATTATAACAGCAATAATCGTTTATAACGGTCATCAATAATTTCTTCACAGATAAAATAAATATATTTTACATTTTTATGTTATTGGAAAGATGTTTTTTTTACATATTGTAGAATCTCAAATTTAAAATTTCTGGGAATGGGAAAACATGAAAAAGTAAATATTACTTTAATTGACGCATTGAATAAATATCCAAAAATCTGCCCATTTCTTTTTTTCCTCTTTTGAGAAAAATGATAAATTTTTTAGACGGTGCTATTAGGTGGTTTTCTATGTGGAATATGACGTTGCAGATATTTGACTTCAGCTTCCAGGTCCTAATATTTATAATAGTAAAAAAATATAAGTTTGTATAGAGAGATCACGCATTATTTTTCAATACAATACCTTGCAGTATTCATCCAAGGGAAGATCATTTTTATCATAGCCTATTATTATTAGCATTATGAAAAGAAAATTATCGAAATCATTCCAAAAAGCAAAATCGAGGATGAACTGATAAATAAATCATAGCTTACCAAATGGATTCTCGATTTCGGCACCTTTTAAAGAACCCAAAAATTATATTAACAAATAAAGCAATTAATTTACAAGAGGATGGATGTAATAGTTTCATAATTAACTTACCGATACCCTCGACACCAAACAACACAAAAGCAACAACC